GCCCCAGTGTTGGTGTCATTGGTAGGAATTGTACCCCATCATTGGTGTCAATAGGAAGAATTGTGCCCCTTCGTTGGTGCCAGTGAATGAAACAGTGCCCCAAGGGTCGGATAAAGACAAGCAAAGGTCTGCATCCAGCCCCCAGGCTGCAGTTTGGAAACCACTGCTCTAGATGCTAAAACAATTAGAAAAATATAAAAGAGCAGGCATGTAAAATACAAAATACACATCTAGCATTGCTTTAAAACTGATCTCCATGTTTTTCTGAAGTTCAATAGTTTGTTTGGACCAAGCTGGTCCATTTGCAGCAGCTGTGTGTGCTGTATAAACTGTATGTAGCCTCAGCTACATAGTACATTATCCAGTGTTGTGTGCTGTAATGGGATGGGAGTTTCCTGCTGTGCTCCTGGAATGAAATCAAGTCATTCAGGGCTCTGCTCAGCCATTCACAGACAGCTTTGTATTTTCTGAATGAATACATAGCTTCCTCTGATTGGCTGAGGTGGGTGAATGATGTTATGAGCATAGAATACAAAGTGTTGGAGCCTGCCCAGTAGGAGAGGAGTGTGGCGGTAGCAAGAAGCAGGAAAATGTGAGGCTGGAAGAAGCAGCCTGCCAGGAGGCCTAGTGGGATGGGGCCTGCCTGCGAGCCTGCATCTGGAAAGGAGGAAAACTCAGGACTCACTGGCCCCCTGAGAGAGGACCACCTGTTCAGCATGGAAGGAGCAGCCCAGCTGATAGGCCTGGTAGCAGTAGCCATTCCTTATTTAAAGTAACATGAGCTAGATCCCCTGCTCAGGAACAAAGTCTCCAGATTGCTGGGTGAAGAGGAGTTCATCTAGAGCAGGGGTCTCCAAACTGTGGCCCTCCAGCTGTTGAAGTACTACAAGTCCCATCATGCCTCTGCAAGTTTTTCCTGTGGCTGTCAGAATCTTGCAAGGCCTCATGGGACTTGCAGTTCCTCAACACCTGGAGGGCCGTAGTTTGGAGACCCCTGATCTAGAGTTTGGGGTAGTACAACTGGAGCTTCTGGCCAGCATTCCAACAAAGACTGTGTGTCAGAGAAGAGAAGCTGTGAATTGTTCAGGAAGTTGTCCTCAGATTTCAGTTCTCTTGGTCATCCTATACACCCCTTACCCTAACCAAGTTTGTTCCCCTCAATAAAATATTAAAAACCAATGCTCAAGGTCTGATTTCTGTCTCTGGCTGAAAGCTGTGTGGAAAATGCTAACTAACTGGCTGTTCAGGACTATAGGGGACCCAAATGCATCAGCAATTCCTAAGGGAGTAGTGCTACACTAGTTAGATTTCACTAAAACCTGGACATCAGCTTTAAACCTTAACCACTTGCCGTCTGCTTGTTGTTTATAAACGGCAGGACAGTGGCACTCCAGGGGCAGGTTACCGTTCATAAACAGCACCAGCATTTTCTAGCTGTGTAAGCTCCCTGGGAGCGAGCAGCACCGCGATTCAGTGCCCGCTGTGTTCTCCGGACACAGTGGAACACCCATCATTGGATGGGACCTCTGTGCGAGGTCCCGATCATGTGATCACTCGTTGGCCAATCAGTGATCACACGCAGAGTAGTAAGCAAGATGTCACTTGTGACATCATTGCTTACTACATGTGAAATCTCTGAATGATCACAGAGGTTACATGGTACAAGGCTATTCACAACAGCCTTGTACCATTTGACAAGCTGTGACCAATCACAGCTCACACAGTAGGTCTCAATGGCTGCAAGAATGCAGCTGGAGAGAAGGAGAAATTATTGCTTTTACAGCCTTTATGTGTGTAAAAGCAATCAGTGTAAAAAACGAAAAAAAAAAAATTTCATCACCCCCCACAAGTAGTACAGTGTCACCATGGTGACACTGTACTGCTAGGGTGACAGTATGTAAAAAAAAACAAAATATAAATAATAATATAAAAAATTAAAAAACATTTTACATTTTTTTTGAAAATTATCATTTTTGGTTATAAACTAATTTGGGTTATTTTTTTATTTACTAAAAAGATAACAGAATAAGTTTTGGCCAATATTTATGATGAAATACTATTTTTTTGCAAAATTTTATAAGAAAAACACTTTTTTCAAAAATTTTTGGACTTTTCATTTACATAGCAAAAAAAATAAAAATCCCAGTGGTGAATAATTACCACCAAAATAACGCTTTATTTGTCTCAAACAGATGCTAAAAAATTCATATGGGTACAGTGTTGCATGACCGCGCAATTGTCATTCAATGTGTGATAGTGCTGAAAGCTGAAAATTGGCCTGGACAAGAAGGGGGTGAAAGTGTCCGGACTGGAAGTGGTTAAACTTTCCTCAGTCTTTTGGGTTGAATGATGTCCAGTGTCATTAAACCTGGTAGACTAAGGAAAGTCTGTCTGTCAGTGCAGAAACCCTGCTGCTGTCATTACACCGACAATGCTTTCCACATTATCCAAGAATGCACACTGCTATGAGAAAACCAAAAAGGAAATGGGCACAGCACATCATGTGACTGGTTAGAAAACATCAGAAAAAAGAGGAGCTTAAAAAAATGACCACTGTGCTGCTGGGGTTTTCCCGTGGGGAAGGGGTTCTCTTGGGGGAACCTACAGCTGGGCTATAAATAAATCTGAAATAAGATTGCAACAAATTAAGCCACAATGGACTTGATCTGAATTCTGGCTAGTGATTCAAAATACTGAACCCTTTAACCCTTTGAGGACCATAAGATTACGGAACGCCAAAAGAATCAATTTTTTGTTTTTAAAGTTCGTACACTTCAGTTGCTGTAACTAAGCCATTTCATTAAATAATTGGCAAAAAGCTAGATCCATTTGTTGATAAGAACTAATATTTTGACTCAAACCAAAAAAAAAAAAAAAAAAAGTATTTTAAGTTCTTAATCAGATGATACAGGCAATTAAAAACATGGGACAAATACGTCCCTTGGTCCTCAAATGGTTAAACCATCATGGCAGCCAGGTAGGAAGCATTTTCAAAAAAGTTGGCAGTGGTAGCCTTCTTATATTGCTCACTAGGATGTTCTCTGTTGAAGTGGTAATAAACCCAACACTAAAAATTTTATATTTTGCAGCTTACCAATCATTAGATGTGGTGGCTGCATTCATTTTCATTTTTAGTCTTTTCCTCCTCTGTTCTCACCTGGTGATCTGGCCAGTACCACACCTTCTGTATTAAAATGTCCCCATTCTGGATGAATTAGCACAGGGGGCACCTTTTGGATAGCAGTATTGCCAGTCTGGGAGGAAGGGAGTGTTAGAAGTACTAGCAGATTTAGATACATTAACAAATTGAAGCCAAACTCAAAGCTTACACTGCAGGTACAGCAACAGTTTTTTTTCTTCTTGGATAAAGGTTTTAGATAAATAAAAGACTGATAATTGTAAGCACCCCTGTCAGTGGTAAATGTTTTGTCCCAACACTGATTTGTTTGCAGGAGAGCTTGTTATTTTCAAAAACAGCCTTACTGGTAGGATTAGAAGATGAAAATATGGGAAAAAAGCCTACAAAAAGAAAACTAATTTGCAGCCATTGCATCTAAAAATTGGTATGCTACAATATATTAAATGTTTTCTTTTGGGTTTAATACTGCTTTAAGGTGATCATTGACTCTGATAACAAAGAATTTGGCAGCATTGCACTGCACAGGGAACATGACATTAATCTGATAGCCATACTTTTAGGAGCAGTATATAATTTTGGGTATAATGTAACTGCCCTCGTCCTTGTAAAAGCTTGCTAGTTCTGGTACATTGGCACTAAGCTTCTTTGAACATGAAGGCAGTGATGTACATAATTTTTCACACTTACATGTTATTCAGGGTGAAGGACTGTCTGTGTCCCCATTGCAGAGATTTCTCCTCATTTCCTACTCTTTTGGGACTGAAAGTGGGAAAATCTTTGCACTGGGGCAGAGACAGAAATAAAACCTTTTAAAGGCACGTTCTGTTATTTACAGCACAAGATGTTTTGGATTACTGATCCTTTAAAATATTTCCTAGCTGAATTATGCATTCGGCCCTGTCAACTCCAGATAGCTCAGAGGTTATCTATGCAATCTAGCATACTCCAAAAGCTGAGCAGCATCCTGTATTGCAACATGACTACGAAAAAATCTGTAGCTTATAATAGCCTAGCCAAAGACATCTGGCTCTGTTAAGATATGACTATGTGTACTGCATTACAGCGCAGTCAGTAGTGTTGCTTGTATACTTGCATGCATTATTTCCATCTACCGTCTGTAGTGGTTACAAGTACATCTAGATGCATGCAGTCATTGTTGACCCCTTGAAAAAAAAAAAAAAAAATCCAAGTTTTCTGGCTGACTGTCAGGAATGGACTCGTCAATGGTGGTGGGACTCACCTGCCTTGTGGGCTGCAGTACCTGGGCTAGCCAGCGGGTGCTCTCTGCAATCAGAAGCTCACTCCTGCAATCAGCCATCACCTGAGGCTGATTGCAGGAGGTATATTTAAGGAATGGCCAGACCTGCAGTCAGTGCCTTGTTGTACTATTTCGCTTGGCCCAAGTAGCCTGATCCTGCTTGCTTCTATCCTGATTCTGCACGAACTCTGCCTGTACTGACCTCGGCTAGTCCTGACCACTCTCCAGCCTGCTCCTGGTACCTTGTTTGCCCGTTTGCTACCGACCCGGCCTGCCCGACTACGTTTAGTGTTGTATGTATGGTTGTTTGTTGGAGGCTTGGTTTGGTGCACTGTGTTATGTTTTGCACTGCGTTTATGTATTGTTAGTCTTTAATAAATTGTATTATTTATACTATACCGGAAGCCTGCGTTTCCCTGTGTCAGTCCACACATTTCTGGTCATACCCAGATTCCTGACACTGGCATGCAATACTTGGATCATTCATCCAGAACACTCAGGAGGATAAGGACTTCTGACCTTCTTTATCTAGCTTTTGTAGTATCAGATGCTAAAGAAGTTTTGTAGTATGCTTCCCTGTGGCTGACTACACTTGCTGTTCAGAATCAGATTGCTTGTACTCAGGGGCGGACTGACAACTCATGGGACCTCCGGGCAATAGGGGATCATGGGGCCCCTGTGTCCTTGCCCAAACTCAAAAAGCCTATGAAAAAGGTACCAGGGGCATCTCATGGGGCCCCCTACTGACCCCGGGCCCTCGGGCAGTGCCCAAGTTTCCCAATGGTCAGTCCGCCCCTGCTTGTAATTGTTCCTGTTCACATTTCAAAGCTTAGTTGCTTTAATGCTCTGCACCCTACTTTCAAAAAAGTTCATGAGCTATCAGGCATTTTTGGCCCTATACACGATAATGGGATTGTGTGGGTTTGGTCAAATCCCAGAAGGCATCTGTCAGTGCCTGGTCACTGAGCTGTGGGAGGGGGATAGCCCATCCAGCATCTACATGTACACAGAGGGGCAGGCATGCTTTTGACATTATTGACCCAATATGGCCACATGGCCATATTAGGCCAATGGCCTGCCACTGACAGCTATCTTCCCTGTTCAAACTAAACCCAAGCTCATCCCTAATCCTAAGCTTTATACTTAAAGTGTATGTATAGGCAAACTGTTTTTTGTATTTCCATTAGGCATGGTGTAAGAAAAGGGTTAGAAGCCCTGTCAGGATTTCATTACCACCTGTGTCTCTGCTGGGGATATGCACCCTCTTTATTTGTCCTGATGATCCTGAGACAGAAATTGTACCAGCATGGAGGGTGAAGGGAAGTCTTCCAATGAGGATACCAGTTTCTGTGACAGCTGTCTGTATGGAAATTCCATACATTTCTTTTCATTTCCTGCAACATTTCCACATCAAGAAGTGGACTGAATTTTAACCCTTCCCTATTCTATTCAAAACCAAAAAAAATTGGAAATATACATCCACTATAACTCTTTGACTGCCACTGGCACATGTCAGTGGCTTTGGTGGGTGTTACACACACTCCTGTCAGCATGCAGCCACCAGCAGCGTGTGTAAATCTTGCAAGCCAACTGTCAGTTGTCAAATGGAAGTAATCAGCTGGATTGCTTCCACACTCCCCTGTTACTGCGTCCCAACCTTGCACTCCTGCCATGTTTCCTGAGCTACATGTGCCCATTGGTGGACTCAGGGCTAGCTTGGTGGGTGCCACCAGGCAGAGGAGAGGGAGATCTATGAACATTCATTTCTGATCTCCTCTTTCTGTTACTGACCCAAAAGTGATGTGTAAAACGTCACTTCCAGGTCTTGGTGTCACAATTTGCACAAATATAGATCTGCACTGCATTTGTTTTTATTGGAGGACAGGTGAGACAGCAGGGGTCTTTTTAGACCTCTGATCTCTCATAAACCATTTAAGGACCGCCCTACAGCAGATATATTGCTACAGGGTGGCCCTGCTGTGCAAAATCAGGTAAAAATTTCATTTCCTGGTAGACAACAGGAAACAACACAGGTCTCTCTCATGTCAGGAGGGATGTGCTGCTTTCTATCTCTGCAAAGCAGAGAGATAGAAAACAGCATGCCCCCTAGTAAAAAAAAAGCACACAGTAAGCACAAAACAACATACTGTTAACCCTCGGATCGCCCCAGATGTTAACCCCTTCCTGCCCAGTGTCATTAGTACAGTGTCAGTGTTTTTTATTAGCACTGATCACTGTATTAGTGTCACTGGAGATGTCAGTGGCAGTTAGTCAGTTCCCACCCAGTGTCAGTGTTAGAATGCCTGCCACAGTCCCGCTATAAGTCACTGATTGCCGGCATTACTAGTATGAAAAATAAATAAATAAAAATTCCAATATATAAAATGCCATTTGTAGATGCTATAACTGTCACGTAAAGCAATTAATATACACATATTTTTTTGTTTTTTTTACCAAAGGCTTGTAGCAGAATACAGTTCGGCCTAAATTTATGACAAAATGTTATTTTTTAAAAAATTTTTATTGGATATGTTTTACAGCAAAAAGTCAAAAATATTGTTTTAATTTTTAAAATTGTTGGTCTTTTTTGTTTATAGCACAAAAAATAAAAAATGCAGAGGTGATCAAATACCACCAAAATAAAGCTCTATTTGTGGGAAAAAATGACAAATTTATTTTATGTACAGCATTGCATGACAGCACAATTGTCAGTTAACACAGCACAAATGGAGGACCTTTTGTCTCCTATATATTGAGAAAAAAAGTTCCGTAAAAAAAAAAGTGTACTTAAAAATCACTCTCCCAAAAATATTTGACCCCCCACATACACCCACGTATGAATGTCAATGCTCGTGCCACAGTGAAAGCAATATTTCTATACCCAATATTCATGGTTAACTTATGACCTGTAGGGGCTTTACCTCACCTATAGAAAATATAGGGTAGCCAAGTGTCCCTTTCATGGGCACTCACAATTTTAAGACTTGACATGTTGGGTATTTTATTTATAAGGCACAACCTCATCTTTTATATTGCAACAAAATATTGAGTAATATATTGTGTTTATGTGCCCTAAAATTAAATTTAGTGTATTTTTACTGAAATTTTGTGTTTTTTAAATTGTGCTGATATTGTGTGACATAAAAATTTGGAACTACCAGCTTGTGTTTTTTTTCTCTAGCATGTCTGCTTTCAGAAAACATATAATTTTTTTCAGAGGTGTGTGCAAAAACTGCTTTGGCAGCAAAAGGGTTAAAGTGGTTCAAAAGGCAAAAGGTTTTTTACCCTAAGTTTTACTGCTTGACATACTTTAACCTTCAGCAAAAGGGAGGGGTTACACCTTCTTTATTCTAAATAACAGCTACATAGTGCAATAGGTTGTGAAAAAAAATATAAGGAATTATCGTATCTGTTTTGGTAAGAAAAGCGTGGCTCAACAAAGATCTAAACAACAGTACAGAAAAAAGGTAGGACTTGGAAAAAAAAGAAAGTGACTATTTTCTGTTTGCGCACTAGATGGCATTGTAATGAAACGAACAATGTAGATTTTTTAAAGCAAGCAGTAATTTGAGTTTATACAATGAAAAGAGTGCTAGCCACTTTGATTTAGGTAACCCAGTGATGCAGTCTACACTAATAAAAGTATTTATAAAGTGAGTCAACAACAGTTTAGTGATCTTTAACTGTGTACAACTATGTTTTTGCCACCACCATGCTTCTTTATTTCTGTAGAGATAAACCAACATTTAAATGTTCCCTCCTATTTTGTCTGTTATGGTCCTGTGTACATTTTATAACAAATCACAATGCAAATTCCCCCCCCCCCCATGAAGTCAGGTGACTTTAAAAATCCTGCTGTATCTTCTTACGGGGGGGCTGGTACAGGTGTTGGTGTGAATTCTCTTCCCCACCATCAATTCCTAGAGCAGTAGATTATGTCACTGCTATATGTGATTCAGCCCCATTGTTGGCCCTCCTCATTTAAACCAATGTGCTGAGCTTTGCAGTCACAAAACTCTTAGAAACACAATAAAAAAAAAAAAAAAAAGTATTTACATTGTGATTTGGTATAAAATGTAAGCAGGGCCATGGGAAGAAAAGGGGAGGTGAAGGGAAATATATGTCTTTTAGGTCTGTCATTTTGTTTTCCCCCCACTCCATTTTATATTTTGTACGAACATGTTGGTTAATTGTTTTGTATTATACCCAGAATGAGTTAATGAAAATATGCTGTGTCAGTTATGTGTTACAGAACTGTACTCACAATATTCTATTTCTTAACCCCTTCACGCCTAAGGGTAAAACAAATCTAAATGCCTAAGCACAATTCTGCAACGTTGACATGTGTTAGTAAAACCGTACATATCATCACAACTACTTTGTACATCCAGGTGAATTATACCGCGTTTTTTTCAGGACAAATTGGGCTTTCATTTGATGGTAAATGGTAATGGATAGCTCCTAATTTTTTTTTTATTATTAAAGGAAAACTGGGCCAAAATAGTAAAAAAAAAAAAAAATCGTTTTTTTTTTTATTTAACTGTGTTTCTTGTTACGACCATAACCTACCACCAAAGAACAACCCAAAATAAATTCTCCGGTTCTTGACGATCGCAGCGATACCATATATGTGTATGTTATTTGTTGTTTGTACCCGTAGTACAGCCCAGAAACAATAGTGCGCATTTTGTTTTTGTGTTTTGTTTTTTTTTTTACACAAAACACACTGTCACTGACACTGACATTAACACTAACTGACACTGATACTAATTTTTTTAAATCCTGACCTTTGACCCTGACCTTTGACCCTGACCTTGACTCAAACACTAACCCTGGTACTGAACTAGATCAAACTTTGATCTAGGTATTTTTCTTTTATTTTTTATTTTATTTTTTAATATTTATTTATTTATCTTTTTTTTTTTTTTTTTTACAAACTTTTTTTTTTATCTCTCTGTCAGGAGTTCGAGAGATACAATGTATCTCTCTTCTCCATTCATAGAGAGAGAGAAAACAAGGGGGCCGGGCTGCACAGTGACTGATCACTGTGATAGCCAATCAGAGGCTATCACAGCGATCACGTGACCCGGATTCGGGGGTCCCGATCGTTAGAACGGGACCCGGGGCTCTCAGTGACACCGCGGTCTCGGTGCTGGGAGCGCGCCGAGCGGCGCGCTCCCAGCACAAAGACAGGTACGCAAATATGCGGCCCCACGGAAAAAAGCCCAGGTCCGTGAGGCCGCATATTTGTGTTACGTCGGCGTCAAGGGGTTAAGCTTAGCCTTGGTAGAGAAGGAGATAGTATCCAATTATTTCTTTATACTAACAGCACCTGTTTCTGTTATGATATAATTAAAAGTCAAATACTTCTGTCTAGAGATGAGCGAATTATTCAAAAATTCGATTCGGCTGATTCGCCGAATTTGCGGGAGAAATTTGATTCGATGCGAATTTATTCGCCGCGAATTTAACTTATTAAAAGGGTTTCTAGGCTTCAGAGAGCCTTTATATTAGTGCAGAACACTGTACCTTTAATTTAAATGCCCTTGGAGTCTGCTGGGGAAGAGAAATAATACTGTCAGTCAGTATGACATGCAGATGAGTGCCGTCAATCTTAGAATCACCGCACACTTCACTCATTTGGGCAGTCACGGGGCACGACGAAGAAGAAGAAGAAAAGAAGAATGAAAAGAAGAATGAAAAGAAGAAAGAAGAATGAAAAGAAGAAGAAGAAGAATGAAAAGAAGAATGAGAAGAAGAATGAAAAGAAGAATGAAAAGAAGAAGAAGAAGAATGAAAAAAGAAG